GTATTTAAAAAAAGAATTAAGATTTGTAGGAAATGTGTCTGGTTCTATTTTTTCCCCCAAGACCAGCTAGATATATAACCCTGTGGAAAGGCATGTAAGAAGAAATGTCAATCTTATCTTTACTGAAGTAATACAATTTTATTACTCTTCAGTTCATGGAAATTCTGGGTCAATCTGACAACTCAGACTAGAACAAACAAGTCACCATGTTAGAAGCGTGCTGCTACCTTTGCCCTTGATGCTTATCTGTAGGAATTATCCTGCAAGATAACGTAAAAATCCAAGTGCATTCCAGGCCACATGCGTTGCTTGACAGAGAACTAGGGAAAAGAATTTCTGCAAATCCAGAGACATTAGTTGGAGAAAATCATTTGAAACGTGCATATTGGTTTTCAGCAAAATAAAAGTCATTGGCCCTGCCTTCTGGGACAAGAAATATGTTCTTTTTGTTCATAATAGGATTGGGATTTCTAATTCTTCACCTTCTTAAATTGAGTTGTAGACTCACAAGTGGCAAAACATGGCTCTAGGGCCTGACAGCTTTGCAACAAGAAAACTTTTTTTTGAACACATTGTATAATATAGTTATTTTTTTATCTGCGTTCTGGAGCTCAGGGAGCAAGATGGCGGACTAGAGGGAACCTTGATCAGGTACAGATGTCCAAAGTGGTCAGCGGCCTTTTATTTCATTCAATCTGCAATGATCCTATGACTCTCGTAAATTAGAAGTCTTGTTTTGCAAGTTAGAGCCTCAAACTATTTCTAAATCTGTTTCAAGGAGAGGCAAACACTTGGATCTGGAAGATTGTTAATGCTTCCTTAAGGGAGAGGGAGTTTCTGGCATACTTGAAGAAGGCTGTGGTGTGCTCCTTCTGAAGAGGCCAATTCTGCACGCAGGATTTTTAGACAACTACCGTTCAGTCTCCAACCTTTCAAGACCGGTTTCACAGCACCTAGATGAAGCAAATTATCTGGATCTTTAGTCTGGTTTCAAGCCTGGACAAAGGACAGAGATGGCATTAGTTGCCCTCCTTGAATGAATGGTGTTGGGACTTAGATGGGAGCAGTATACCTGTCTTGCCCTTTTGGATCTCTCAGTGCCCTTCAGTGCCATCAAACATGGTATCTTACTGGTCTGCCTATAGGAGCTGGGGATTCCCCCTGTGGTGGGGGAAGTTGTCTCAGTCACCTCTGACATGTAGAGTGCCACAGGGATTGGTTCTTTCTCTCCAACCTTTAACATCCGTACACACTGGGTGAGATCATCTGATGGTTCAGGGTGCAGCATCATCAATATGCTGATATCCAACTTTGCAACACCCCTCTGGGCCATGGGGGGATGCTGTTGAGCTCCTGTCCCTGTGCTTGGGAAAAAACAGACTGAAGCGGAGCCCAAGAAAGATGGAATTACTGTTTGTACTTCTGGGTTCTCTATCCATGGCAGAGTTGCCTCCATGAAAAAACAGGTTTGTGATTTTGGAGTCCTTCTAGACTTGTGGTTCCTACTAGAACAGCAGGTAGAGGCAGTCTTTGTTCAGCTGTGGCCGGTGCACCAATTGCCACCCTACCTGGCTACAGTGACTCACACCCTCATCACTACCCAGTTGAACTATGGCAATGCACTTTATATGGGGCTGACCCTACTCAGAAACTGCAAATGGTCCAAAATGCAGCAGCTGAATACTTACCAGCTCTCAGCATAACACCAGTCCTGCAAACCCTGCATTGGTTGTTAATTAGTTTCAGGCTACAATTCAAAGGGCTGGTATTGACCTATAAAGCCCTTCATGTTGTGGGCCCTGACTATCTGCTGGACCACCTTCTCCAACAGAATCGGCCCAACCTATTAGATCTTGTGGAGAATAGCTGCTGGTGGTCTCACACTTCCAGAAGGTGGGGGAGTCCAACATGAGGTGGCACAGCTGCTCTGGAATGGCCCCCTCCCTTCTCGCCTTTAGAAAGTTGCTAAAAACATAACTATTCTGGACGGCATTTTCTTGATTTAACGCGTTGTGCCATTTTTACTTTTATTTTCATTTACTTCACTATTTTAATGGTTATATGTTGTGTACCTTGTAAGCTTCTGAGAATCAGATGATTGTGTGTGTGTGTGTGTGTGTGTGTGTGTTTGTGTGTGTGGTATGTCTCTAAAATAATCAGTTGGAGGGCACTTAGCCACAGCCTCTGTAATAGTGAGGTTGAACATGCAGCCATGCTGCTTTCATAAGCTTGGCATGGGTTTGGAACTGCCATTCTCAACATTATTGATTGACTGATTTGAAAAGAAGAACAGGTGAAAAGGATCTGCTCCTAGAAATAAAGATTCATGTTCTCTAGAAAACGGCCAGAGAAAGGGTAAGACTTCAGAGGACAAAAACTGAAATGAGAGGGATTTAATATACTGTAAACTTTTCACAGAACTCAGTAAGGACACTATGGAAGCGTTGCATGCAAACGTAAGGCATAGAATGTGTATCTCTCATTTTGAGTTAAGATTGTCTGTCTCATTCACTCTGTTCTTACCTTATAAAACTAACCCAAAGTATAGCCATCTTTCTCATACTGAGAATGATATATATATATATATTGGAGAACAAATTTCAGTGTGGGTAGGTAGACTTCCTTCTCAGTCATGCCAACAGATTCCAAAGGGTCAGATTAGCAATTCTGGCTGGAAATAGGCTGCAAAGAATACACACCTTGGAACAGTTTGATTTAGCAAGCTCAGTCCTTATCCTACGGTTCCTCCCTTGAACCCACAGGAGAACCAATTTGTCTAGCGCTCAGCATCAACAGCTGCCTCCCAACTCCATCAGATCACACGCGACACCTCCTATGCACATTCACTCACAAATAAGTCTTCCCAACTTCATCTGAGCACGCTAAGTAAGAAGGAACCAAACAAACTCATCTTCTAATAAACCTCCCAACCATAAAGCAAGCACTCTGTATGCATAGAAACTAACCATTAACATATGCACCATCGTAAAATGTGTATTAACGCCCTTTGCTTGAGGAGGAAGGGTTAAGGAAAGATGAGTTGTTAGCCAGTTGTTTAAATCTGATAATCCAGTATACAATGTGGTGGAATCCACTGTAATCCCAAACAGCACTAGGCATAAACTAACTCCCCCCTCAGCCATACCATGAAGCTACTGAAGAAAATAACAGGTAGTCCTCTTTTCTGGCTGGGGTCACAGAGAGGGCTACTTAGAGCACTTGTCCTGGATGGGTGAATGAATACTCTGCAATTGACCAGGGATACTCTTCATGGATTATGTGCTGCTGCTCTGCCCTGGGGTAAAGGCAATGCAACTATGGGGGCCCTACTTCGCTTTATCAATTATTATTGTTTACCCAGATACGTTAAACCCAACTCAGCAACAGATGATATTCTTGTGTAAGGGGATAAAAGGAAAGGAAACCTCAACGTAAGCTGTCTGAACTCCAGGAAAAAGGCAGGATATAAATAAAACAAACAGAATGTATACTGAATGAATTCCTTAGCCCGCAAATACATCGCTAGATAGGAGTAAGGGTACATGGAATGGGACGGTGGCATATATTTGATGCCACCATGTTTCCACATCCCATCTAAACCAGAGGGACATTTCTTCTTTCTTTGGACAAAAAACAAAAAGGGCAGGAGAGATGCAGACCAATCAAGTTCCCTCTGCCTATATTCTTTTCACTTTTAAAATTGCTACAAAACCTGCCTAAGACTGCAGCAAAACGATAGGACAACCACAGTGATAACGCTGCAGAACTTGCTTCTAACTTAAAATTTCAATTTCAGTTTCCAATTCTTTTTCCAATCACATCTACCCGTCCCATTAGTTCCAAAAGGAGGGGTATGTTGCTAAAGAATTTCATCTGATGGGACCCAGGAGGATCCTTTCCTGCTGTGCCCCCCCGGAACATCAACCCCCCCCCCCGAGGTGAGGTTAGCCCCAACCCTGTTAGCCTTTTGGAAGGCCCTGAAAATGTGGCTTTTCCAGCAGTCTTGGGGATCCCATAGGAAGCCTGCACAATAGTTATATTGTGTTGAGATGAATGTTCTTCTCCCACAATCTTGCCTTTCTTGGTATTTTAAAGTTTTTTTTTAACAGTTGTGATATTGTTTTAATTGTTGATTGTATGCCACCCAATCACATTCAGTGAGATGGGCTGCCATAGACATTTATTAAATAAATAATAAATAAATAAAACAAATTATTACAGGGCAGTGACCCAGCCTAAATAAGACTTACTAAATAAAACCTGTAGAATACAACCTACAAAATAGAATGTATGAAATAAAATAAGGCACACCAGGTCAAAACTGTACAATCCTGCTCACACCATTTTGCTATCAACAGTGTGCGAGTTTTACAGGCTGCGAAAACAAACTTTGCAACTTTAAGAGTTACCTTAGGGTCCTTATCTGCCAGTAAAAAGATGAACATAAAATTCTCCAGTCCGTCCCGGAAACGGGATTAGAAGAGGCACAAGTAGCTCTCTAAGTGTGTCTTGACAGAAATTATAAGACAACAGAATACAATTTCAACAGAAGAGAATCTCTGTATCTCAGGGTTGAATGGTGGAGTCCTTGGTGTTCTCAGAGCTTGGTTGTTTGTTTATAGATGTTTCATTACCCAACTAAGTAACATCATCAGTGCAAGTAAGTGTGGGGTTTTCGGCCTGTTTATATATAGCAGCTACTTGCTCACTCTGATGATGTTTCAATATTACCACCTTTACTGGATTTTATGGAATTTCCCCTCTACCTCTGATGATGGTATATAATATTGAACCGTAATAATGTAAATGCTTGCTGAAATGTATTGTTTGTAAGTTGATCTAGATACAATGCTACTTTGATTTGTACATTGCTATGGTCTAATTGTACCCTGGGTGAGAATTTACTATATTCTGGCTGTGATTGTATATCAAGGATCTTTTGATATTAATTAATTCATCTTGTCCCAAGGGCGAGACCATCTCCTTTAAAAATCCAGTTTATATAATTTTTTGTCAGGTTGGAGTTTCTAAGAGGAATCATATTGATCGATTAATATTTTCTGTGTTAGACCTTGAGGTTGGAAATGAGCCATTAGCCAGTATTTGAACATACACAGCCATGCCACTTGGAATAGTTTACTAACTTAAATTTAACTCACTAGATTTTTATACTTGTATGACACTTCATATTTTCAAGGCTTAATTGAAAAAAAACTCTCTCTTTCATAACTCCTGACGGAGTACTAGAAATTACTGGAAACTGAATGATGAAGTTTCTCCTAAGTAACTAGAATGACAGCAAGATATTCTTTGAGATAAGTGATTAGTTTTTTAGCAGCAGGCAAACACAAAAGTTGTAAAAGAACATTTGTTTTGGATTAAAGCACCTGAAAAGTAATTTGACTATGGAAGTGTCAATGAGACAGGGATTGTGAAATGAAATACACCACTGAAAAACACTATCACAAAATAATCTCTCTCTTTTTAATTTATTTTCCCTTACACACACACTGCATTTTAAAAACCACAAAAGGTGGTGGTGGTGGTGGTGGTGGTGGTGGTGGTGGTAGTGGTAGAAACCTCCCCAACCATTCTCCATGTTACTCTGGGCACTTGGAAAATTAAACATAGATGCATCTTGATATGTCAAACTTGTGACATCTAAAAGAGGGAAATGTGGAGCAGGAGAAGCAACTGTTTAGAAAACAAGATGAGCAATGGAGTTTAGAAAACCATGGGAATATCAAAAGCAGACCCATGTTGGCTGGAATATCCGATGACTTGTTTTGTTCCCAGTTGTATTATTCAGGCAATGGAGCTGTAACACAAGAAACTGAAGTTGATACAATTTGATTTTTAAAAAACCTGAACAGGAAAAAGTACAGAGTTCTTCCATACAACAGCAGGATCGCATTTCTAGTTTTTCTCTCTAATGTCTATGACACTGAAATGAGAGTTTGTTTCCATCTTAGAAGCTTGGTGTGACCTCATCTACCAACACAGCTGAGCCAAGGCACGCCTAATCTCCTTCAGTCTTGTCTGCTGACTGGTTGAGTCCCTCTTGAGGTAGACCAACGGCCTGGGTGGCTTCTTCCTCTTCTTCCTCCTCAGCTTCTCCATCATCTTCATCCATTTCAAACACTCGAATGTGCCGTAGGTTTGAACTTAGCTAGGAAAACATGAAGAACTGTTGAACTTCAAAGCCATTTGCCTCATCACTTTCAATACTTAGGACAGAGATATGTCACAAGCTGGGTGCTGTCAGTCTCTCTGACGTCTGCTTAAAATCGGAAGCAATCCTAACACCATCATATTGTTGCATCTTCATGACGTGCCCTTCCTTTTCCAAGGAAGATTCTCATAAAATCTCTTTAACAAGATATACTGAGATGAATGGGATGAAGTTACAGGAATTTGGCCACTGAACTATTTCCCACCTAAAACCAATAGCACATTAGTGTAGAGACTTCTTTATTCTTTTTTTAAACTGCCTTTCTGGGAACAGGCTAACTGCAGGTCTCTTCATGGATACTGGAGAAGCTTAAGGAGGACTGTTTACATACCAGTCTCCTGAATTGTTATCAGTCTGATGACTGCCCGTGCCTCCTCAAATAAGCTTTTTAGCCTCTGTTGTTCAGAAGCAGTCCAATTTTTATCATTGCGTGCTTTTATTTCTGCCACAGACCAGCATGAAACAAATAAAATAGCAATCATTCCAAAACTAAAGTAGGGAAGGAGTAGAATACTCACGACACAAGACACTTTCCGGATACCATTCACTGTGACGTACTGAGCTTTCATATTCTCCAGCACCCTCCACTGACTCTCTGCGGTCACAGTACAGGTAGGAATGCCATCACACTGCATGTCTAACCTAGCATCCAGAAGAAAATCAAGTCAGATGAACATCCATTTTTAACCTCTATGTGCCAAAGATGTCCCAACACCATCATATTGTTGCATCTTCATGACGTGCCCTTTTATGATCTTAAAAAAGTTAAGGAGGGTTAGACCTGGTAAGCACTTAGACAGAACACCAATAAGAGTCCAAGGACTCTAGACTGGACTGGGAAATTGGAAAAAAAATCTGGAAAAAGACAATGAGACACTGACTCTATTTCCCCCAAATAAATTCCTGATTTTACCATTCACATTCAAAAGAAATTGAACATGAAATTTATGTTCATTGGTTCATAAATGGGAAGACTAGCTATTTGATTCAAAACGGCACCTTAATTACTAAGGTATAACCATTGTAATTATTACTTTAAGGATTAATAGAATTATAAGTTATAGGACACTTTAGAAGGTTCCAAGGGAAAAACACAGCAACATGTACAATGACCCATTAAGCTATTATGCAAAAATGTTATTTAATGTAATTTACACATGGCACTATTTAAGCTGTTATTAGTCAATAATCAGAGTTTCTCTGTTGTACATCATTTTTTCCTTAGCACAACCTCTGCATTATATTGCAGCTGAATGACAAGGAAACCTGATTCAAAAAAATCCAAATTGAAAAGTGTTCTGGAAAGTAACAGCCATGTTTGAGATACAGCAGGAACAAACTTTTGCATGTCAGCTTGTCAATTTCCAATTATTTGTCTCTTTTTTAATGTTATAAGACATACTGATGAGTAAACAGAGAACACTTGAAAATCTCCCCTTATTGTGAGGTACAGACAAAGAGGAGGCATTCTCAGGCAGTCTTTCCTCCTGTGGAATAATCTGCCGCTTGACATAAGAGCGGCCCACAAAAATCTCACAGTCTTCTGAAGAGTTGTTAAGCCACAGTTTCTCCAAACCTTCAAAAACCAATTTTGATCTAAGTGAAACACAATGCAAGGAATTTTGTTTGAAATTATTACTCTTATTTTTACTGTGGATCATTTCATTCATTATGCAACGAATTGTATTTCTATCCTGTAGAAGACCTGACCCTCGGACGAGAGAGGTCTTGATCTCACAGCCTTCCAGACCCTTGTGAAGATGTGGCTTTTCCAGAAAGCCTCTGGAGACTTATTTTGGTCTAAGTCAGACAGTGTGCCAGGAATTTTATTTCCGATCATGATTCTCGTTTTCATGGTTGATTCTTGTATTCATTATGTCATTTATTGTATTCATAATGCATTTTCTTAATCCTTTACAAGACCACAGATTGAAGTGGTATAGAAATCCTTCAAATAAAGAGACAGACAGTAAACCTGAAAAGACTAAATTACTTCAACATTTCAAGTGGTTATCACCTCTGACCAGAATTCCAGTTAAATTCCATTTCCTGGTTTTCCTCTGTACAGATGGATGATAAAGGGAGCTGGGCCAAAATTCTTTCTCTCCCCTCTTGTTCTAAATTCTCTGCCAGGATGACCGTTATAGTTTCATCATCATAGAAATGAGCATCAAGACAGCTGTAGAAACTAGATTCAAAGAAATAAAACCAAGTTTCACACATACATGTACAGATGGGGACAGTATCACAAGGCTTTATTGTTGGAATGGAATTCAAAATATTTATCAGAAAGTTTTGCAGTAAACCACTGTATTAATGTTCTCTTCTGCTTCTTTACACCCTTGCATACCAAACAATATTGAATACCCCTGTGACCTGCTTAAACTGGAGCTAATTTGAAAGCTGTGGCTTTTGAGAACAAGCCCATTGCTCATACTGGAATATTTTCTAATAAGGACTTTGGCTATATATCCTTATACTGTATATATCCTATATTTTCAATGGTTGGCGGGTCCTTGAAATTCTCTCCCTAACAAGAAAGCAGGGGCAAGTAGAAGTTTTTCTTCTACAGAATACCTAATAGGATTATTTTTCTTAAATTCCACTTATTCAGTTCTATTTAGTAACATGCATTTTTTATTCTTTTGCCAGGTGGTTTTAAGTTCTTAGATCAGTGTTTCTCAACCTTGGTAGCTTGAAGTCCACACATCTTCAAGCTGCCAAGGTTGAGAAACACTGTCTTAGATGTAGAACTGAACTAGGATCACGAAAAGTCCTAACTAACTACAGCAACTCAATCAATACACCACAATTGAACATCTTTATAATTTAATAAATCATTGAATTACTTGTTCAGGTTTTGGGAGGTTCTCATAGACTGACCTTGTATCAGAACTTTCATTAACACTGTTGTTCAGAAAATTTCCAAAATCCACAGCAAGTAGTCCATTATTAGTAGACCTAAGAATCAAAAAACCACAAACTGATATTAGAGGGTTTCTGAAGATGTTTTCACATAATTATATCGGGGTGTATGAAAAAGAAAATAAGAAAAGCTCAGTGCTACAGTACCTTGAAATGTCTGTATGCCTTCTCAGTATGTAGAGTTTGGAAACTGAGTTCTGTAACATTGTGAATAAAACATAATGCAAATTGTACGATTTATCATGCCACCTGCAGAAATAATTTTGAATGTTCGTTAGTAACAAAGCATCAATGAAATGTGAACCAATTGTAATAAAACAAGCATATACTTACAAAAAGGGCAACTTAAGTAGCTGAGATGTTGAGTCCTCACTAAAGTGGGAAAGAAATTATTAGAAAAGAATCTGGAATTATAATATGCATAATGTATATACTAAAGTAAATACTGTACAGATTTTTATATAGTCAGATCAATACCATTTGTGAACATAAGGTAGCAGGCTTAAGGAATTTCAAGATTTTGCTCTCTGTAAAATATTTAGAAAAAGGGGAGTGAAAACCCTCAAAATAACCTAGTCACTGTGTAGGCTAAGTAGATAAAGAAAACTGATTCTCTTCATGTGTGACTGGAAAACAGGAATGGAGCAATAAGATCAAAAACATGGTTTAATTTAAGTGTAAAACAGTGCATACTGCGTAAAAAAAATATCTTTACATATACACTGATGGTATCTGAACTGCCTGTAAGGAACCACATAAAATCTTGGGGTGACAGTGGACAGCAAAATGAGATGTTGAGTCAGTATGTGTGCCCACAGTGAAAAAGAAAAATTCCAAGTTAAGGATGGAAAGTGACTGGACATTAAAATCCCAATATTGTAATGGCATTATACAAGTCTAGGCACGTCCACATCTGGAGCCCTGATTACTGTTCTGGTCAACATGTTTGAAAAAAAAGAACTGAAGAAGGCAATGCAAATGATGAGGAGGCTTGAACCACTGTGAGAAGAGGCAAAAATATTTAGGACTCTTAATTTTCACTCAGAAAAAGTTGACTGAGGAGTAGTGGGGACACGGTTGCAATATATAACATCATACATGGCATGGAGAAAGTGAAAGTGATAAATGTTTCTTCCTCTCTTAAAGGACTAGAGCTGGGGGTTAGCAAATAGAGAAATCACAAGGTCAAAAGAAAGTATTTCCTTAACCAGCAGCACATAATTAACCTGAGGAATTCATCCCCAAAAGTTGTGAAGATGGCTACTAAGTTGGATGGTTTTAAAAGGAGATTGGCTAAATCCATGGAGGACACAACTATCACTCTTGAAGACGCCATGTTACCTCCAGGTTGGTGGCAGCAGGTCACTAAATACCAACTACAGAGGAACAAGATTGGAGAGGTGTAGGTCTTCTCTCCTGCTAGTGAGCGTCCCAGAGGCATCTGGTGGCCCCACTAGGACACAAGAGGCTGGATGGACCTCAGGCTGAACCAGCAGGGCTCTTCTTATGTCTTAACTGGGAACCCATCAACACCAACCAAAACACTCCACAATTTGTCATAAGTCAAAATGTAAAGATCTGTTCTTTTCCACACACCCCTCCTCTGTGGAACAGCACTTCTCCCCAGTGTAGACTGGCTCCCACCTTATTGTTTTTTTGGGAAGCCATTAAAACCTGGCTTTTCCAGAGAGCTGTGGGAATTGAGAGGAGGAAGACCGGCGTGGGTTTAGACGTTGTGACTATTCCTTAGGGTGCAGTTGTTCTGATTCTATTACACTTCGTGATGGCTGTATTATTTGTTCCTTTGTAAGGTGCTTTGGCCTTTACTGGACTGAGTAGCATAATAAACTGCAGTAAGTGAAAGAAACAAAATAAATGCCTACCTTTTTGAGGCCTTATATAAAGGCATACAAAATGCTTGATGGACAGTTTTTCCAATCACATCCTGGAGAGAGAAAAAAAATCTACAAGTAAAAGAAAGAATTACTCAGAGCAGCCCAACAGTAATTCTGGCAATAGGAGAATTGGCTCTTTGGGAATAAATGGGACTGGAGTACATATTAACTTCTGTAAGGTTAGTTCTCAAGGATTTAAACAAATCAGAAATCTACAATGAAACCTTGATTTAACAGACCCCCATTTAGTGGACTTCAGATACAATGGACCAATCCAGATAATCCACTAAAATAATGGATAAATATACTGCATGTGAAGCAGTCTGGATGAGGGAGTTGAATTTATGTTAATATTATCTTAATTTCATAGCATTGGTAGTGATTTATGCCATTTGTGTAATAACGTGAGCTTCCTTCCCAAGATGGCCCTGAGATGAAGGTACAAGGGAAAAGTCCTGCTAATATGAAATTGTGGTTTATTTCTGTAGATTCTGCTAGAACTGAAGATAATTAAAAAACAGAACTGGGCATTACTTTTCCTAAATCTGAGCTTTCTTCAACCTGAACTTGGGCAAAAGACCACAACATCATTCCTTTCCTTATCTTCTGTGTTCTTCTGTGAAGAACATCCAAAAGGCAGAAGCTTAGTGAATGCATCAGAGCAAATGCTCTCAGAAATCCAAATTTAAACCCCAACATTTCCATTTGTTTGCAATGTAAGAGACCAGCTTCTCCTAAACACTGGCTTCATTCCACATTAGGTATCTTCTAACTTGTTTTCAAAGTGATGCAAGGTGGATTTTCAGGTATCCCACGTTCAGAACAGCTATGTCCTTGTCTCTCAGGATCAGTGGCACATGTTTTATTATGCTGTTCCTTCTCTAAGAATTCTCAACATTAATAACACCACTTTTAAGTTACTTCCTGGTCAGATCTGACTCACTTTTACACCACTCTCCTTTTATCTGATCCAAATCCAGATATTTCTTAGAAGGTGGTGAGATTTATTTCTGGGTCTATGCTTACTAGGAAACAAATGGATTGTAGATGATAGACAGGCTGATCCATAGATTTAAGCCCAATTCTGCTGATCTATTTTAAATTTCACCATTTCTTTCATGAATTCTGCTGTTTATGATTTCCCGGCATTTGTGACTTTTTTTTATATCTCCCTGGTCTTGGACCATAAAAAAATTATCTATATTTAAAAGTAAACACAACTGAGATCAATTTGATGGCTTGCCATACCCAAATCTGATACACCTCTAGATACTCACAGCTGGCTTTTGGAGACATTGATCAATGATTCCTTCCATTCTCCTTTTTACAAAATGCAGTGATTTTTGAGGATAGTATGGAAACAGCAACGGGCTTTCTAAGCAACATTTCAAAAAAGGTCAAATTAATGATGTCCACAAGAAAAAGTTTGTATTTTTAACAATGTGTTTTCTATTACTAGATACTTTATGGAAGAAGACCAGTGTGTGAACATAAGCAAAAATGAGCTTTGTAACAATAGAGTGAGACATCCTGGAAAGACATGTGCTGGGTGTAATCCTGTGGGCTGCCTGTTTGCCCTTCACCCCATTTCAGGCCATTCTCTGGAGCTAAGCCTCACCACATTTTTCTGGTGACATTTTGCCTTCTTGTGCAAAAGCTACATGAAACAACAGCAGTGTTTCCCAACCTGGTGTCCTCCAAATGCACTGGATTACTGCCCCATCTTCCACCAATGGAACAGCCTTTCAACACATCTGGAAAGTCCAGGTTGGGAGTGTCTGCAACAGAGAAGCCCACGCCAGCTGTCAGTTGCCAGCATTTGGCCCAATCACAAGCCAACAGAGACACAAGAGAGAGGCATTTGTGCTTCTACATAAGCCTCATTTTACATGGAAAAACTCACATGCCCTTGACTTAAGCATTTATTTTAATATTTATTTTATTTATTCAATTTGTGTAGCCGCCCATCTCAGACCCATGACTCTAAATAGACAATAAATAACATTACTCTGTCCATGAAAATTCAGTTCTCTCCCATGCTCTCCCATGTATAAACAATTTTTATTTCTAGCAACAGCAGACATTATCCTTAACCTCCCATCCCACTCAATCTCAAGATATCTCCCAGATTTTATCTGATTACCAAATATATTATCTGATTACCAAATATAAACAAGGACCAATAGGCTGAAGAACAGCTTCTATCTTAGAGCTGCTGTATATACTGTGTGTGTGTGTGTGTGTGTGTGTGTGTGTGTGTGAATATATATATATACACACACACACACACACACTGTATATATAT